ATCGAAATATTATATGAAGACAGTGGTCTTGGTCCTGTCCTGTTCTTAATATTCATTAACGACATACCACAATCTTCAGCAAATGTTTCAAGTTGTATACTATGCAGACGACGATGTTTTTGTTCATGCTTCAGGAAAACTATTTCTGAAATAAGCATAAAATGAATAATATACAAGAATGGTATACAAGGAACATTATTAAATTAAACATAGTATGCTTTTTGAGAAACAAACACGTTGTTCCGCCCCATAATTTTCATATCCATCTTGGAGATCTGTCCTTTGAAAATGTCCTACACATACGATACATTGAACTAGACATGGATGAAAATCTAAAACTAAATACAAACTAAGTAAGTAACAAAATTACTTAGTATACGGAAGTGCCTAAGTGCCATCCTACTTATAAGGTGCCATCCTACTTATTAAGTGCCATCATACTGATTAAGTATCTTGTCAAGTCAACTTTCAAAAGTTGATAATTAATCTTGACAAGTCGTCAAGTAGGATGGCATCTAGGCGCTTCCGTAAGTTAGCTCCAAATTAAATGTACTCTCAAAACTTGCATACACTTTAAACGAACATATGTTAAATACATTATACTTCACTGCAATATAACTATGTATGGACTACGGCATTTCAGTCTAGGGAAATACCCGCAAAAATAAAACAATAATTTACAGATTACAGAAAAAGAGCAGCACCCATAGTTACAAAACACTTTGCTTATTGTTTCCTTAACTTCAGTAGTTTAGTAAGTGTTTTATAGAGGGCGTTGTCAATTGTAATACCAGACGCAAATCCACATTTAGATTCTGAAAGAGTTTATGTTTTATCGTTCAAGAAATTGATGTTAAAAATAGGGTTTTCTTGTAACGTTGTCGCTGACAGATAATGTATTGAATTAAGAAAGTATTTCTGAATTCTGTTTCATTATATTATTATTATGCCCCAATTGTGATATAATGAGTGTTTTTTTAGACCAGTAGATACGATAGGCTGAGCTCCATGTGGTATTCATTGTGGTTACTTACTTTGAACTATGGATGTGTTAGTTTGATCATCAAATGGAGCCTTTTAAACGTATTTCCTTGTTTAAAGGCATATCCATTATAGTTCTCTGATGTGTAAAGCTTGGCTAACATACAAGCCTACTTCATGTAGTTTAGAAATTGAGTAATTTTGTAATCAATCTGTACGGTATTGCATTATGATTAAAGTTATCATCACACATGGTTGTCATTACATAGACCGCCATTTTGCACACACCATGCAAGCTGCTGAGGTCACGTGATCTAGCAGAGGTTGCCAGAAAATTACTTTGATTTGTCTTAATTGTAATGTAACGTTAAATATTTGAGATTTGCCACTTTAATTTTGCATTAGGTATTTTTATGTTGTGTATTATTTCTGCAGCATTGAACTTTATTGATACAAACGTAAATACAATTATGGTGATCTGGCGTCTCGTAACCAGACCTGTGTATGTTGGCAGAAGAATAGTAAGTTAAAATTTAGCATTTATTGATTAATATAAACCAATTGTATTATTAGTTTGTACCCAATTATTAAAGCACTGTTTAAATTAGTGAACAATATAAAAGGGAATGAACATGGAATATTGTATTCTCGATAATTAACATTAATTACTGACCTTTGGAAATGTCGTACATTTGCACATGTACTATTGTATTACTGTATTGTTTTATTTTTTATACTGATTATTCATAATGTTTTACTTGTAAGTGCATATTGGATATAAGTTGATAATAGTTACATGTTTGAAGTGTCAGTGCTAAAGAAATGGTATGGGAATAATGCAGCAATTGTGCAGGCATGTTAAGAAAGTCCTAAATCGACCAAAATTAGAGGCGAATAGCCTCCAAGCTTATGACGATGATCTAGACAACTGCCATGAAGCACTTCATGCCCTTAATTGCATTGGTGAACTAAATAATTAAGGTAGCTTGAAATCTATCATTGACAAATGAACAAAGTTTCTTCAACATCGGTGGACAAGAGAAGTATATAAACTAAGAGAGAAAGATAAAGATAAAGTACCAACGTTGAGTGAGGTAACAAAATTCATCAGTGTTGCGGCTATTGAATCCAACGATCCGCTTTATTGTACTGCAGAGCAGCCATCCAGTATACCTATTCGCAAGACAGTCACTACGTCAAAGAAGGGAAATAATCGTATCTTACTTGCTAATGGTCAGGTGAGGAAAAGGTGCGGGAACTGTGATGACGATCACTGGCCAGATCAGTGCCCACTGTTTCTGAGTCTGACAGCTACCGGGCGTGTTAAGAGAGCACGCAAAAAGCATGTATGTTACTCATGCTTAAACATCGCAGGCAAGACACACAATAATTCAACATGTAGCAGAAAGAAAAAATGTCCAAGATGTGATTAATTTCATCATAAGCTCCTACATGGATACCAAACACAGGAATCGCCACCTTAAAGACATTAACAAGCTCTAATGTGCCACAGCAAAGAAAGTTTGTTGCCTGTAATATCCGCTGTGATCGGTGAAAATCTAAGCAATGTTGTGCTGGATTGCTGTGCTAGCATTACTCTATTAGTGAAAGCTTGGGTAGGCAATGTGGATTTAAAAGCTGGCCTGTTGACGTTGAAATTGGAACGTTTGGGGGAGAAGTACAATCTCATAAATCACTGGCATATAAGGTAAACTTAAAATCTGTAGATGGGCAACCACACAGTGTGCTGGCTGTAGGTGTGCCAGTGATAACACAGGTTCCTGAGATGGAAATTAATCTAAAAACCAGACTACAGCCTGCCATGGGAGAGCCTCTCAACCGACGTGGAGGTGAAGTTGACTTGTTAATCGGTGTAAATGAAGGTCATATGCACACAGGTGAAAGGAGATGACGAGACGAGGGAGATGAAAGGTTTTATAATAAGAAAGTCGGCACTTGGTTGGGTGGTGTTTGGTGCGAATGGTACACCATCTCCACCAATGGCAGTCATTGAACTACTGAAGACCGCTAATGAAGCTGAAAAAGAAGTCCCCATCGCTGCCAAATTGATTCAGAGGGATACATATATGGACGATGTGTGCACATCTGTACCACCTGAAACTGATGCGAAGCAGCTAATGAACGATATAGACCAGGTGTTAGACCCGCAATTGCGGGTTTAAGATAAACGAGTGAATGTCAAATTTTAATACAATGGGAGAATCAATACAAATGTTACCCGAGTCTGACAGTCAGAAAGTGTTAGGAGTAGTTTGGGATCCTAGTTCTGATCTCATGAGGTATAAAGTGAAACCGATCAAGTTAGAGAAGATGACTCCTGTGACTAAAAGAAAGGTACTGAGCGAGTTATCAAAAGTGTTTGACCCAATAGGGTTTGCAGGTGCTTTCATCATTCGAGGGAAGATAATGATACAAAGCTTATGGTCAAGTGGACATGAATTGGATGATGAGCTGAGTAAGAAACTGCAAGGTGGATAAATTGTTTTGATGAACTTTCGGATGTGGACAGCATTTCCTTTCCAAGATGCTTAATACCAGATGTTTCTGTAAAGCGAGTGCAACTCATTACATTCTGTGATGCATCCGAACAAGCCCTTGGAGCTGTGTGCTATAATAGATTAGTACAGGCAGATGATAGTGTTGACGTGTGGCACCCCTTAATCAATTGACTATACCACGACTAGAGCTGCAAGCTGCTAGGAACCAGAGGAGCATCAACTGTTAAGAATGAAATGAGGACCAATATAGATGATCAAATTTTCCTGTCCGATAGTGAAATTGCACTGTGCTGGATACGAGGGCAGTCACGTCAATAGAAAGCCATTGTATCAAATAGAGTGGAGAAGATCCAGAGAACTAGTGATCCATCCGATTGGTACCATATTCCCGGAGACCATAATATAGCTGACCAGATAACACGAGGTATATCTGCCCAGGACCTCACAGGTGTTTGGCTTGCTGGACGAAGCTTCCTTCGCCAGGCTCAAGAGGAATGGCCCAGACCAAATCCAAAGGCAGACCCGACTCAAGTGGGGACAGAACGAAAACAAGAGAAGACGCTTCTGCTTGTCCAGGAAGTACAACCAGTAATTGATGTTAAGAGAAAGGCTGTTAGAGTTGCAGCCTATGTTTTTCGCTTTATCATGAATACTAAGGCGAAATGCTGTATTCACTCTGGCCCTAAGTTCTGAGAGAGTATGATATGAGAATAAACATCCAGTCCTTCTACATCAGCGTCACCATGTATTATATTTGATAACGAAGCATGTGCATGACACAGGACATTACGGAGTAGCCACAACTGCAACTATGGTGTTGCGCCAGAATTTGATCATAGGAGTCACCAGACTAGCAAAGAGCATTCAGTATAAATGTGTTCGGTGCAGATATTTTGATCGCAAGACTGAGGAGCAGTTTATGGGAGATTTGCCAAGTGAGAGATTTATGCCTTTCACACCACCATTTCATTGTACCGCAGTGGATTACTTTGGACCATACGACGTGAATATAGGTCGTAAGACTACCATGAAGCATTATGGAGTGATATTCACTTGTATGAACACACGGGCAGTTCATCTAGAGCTTTGAAGTCAACAGTTCGACAGATAAGTTTCTTCAAGTCCTTAGGCGCTTTTTTGCCATAAGAGGTAAATCACATTATCTCCAAAGGGAAAATGGTTCACAATTTGTAGCAGCTCAAAAGGAGTTAAGAGATATGGTTCGAGGTTGGGATAAAGAGAAACTTCAAGAGTACTGTGCTGAGCGACAAATAACTTGGAGGTTTATAACACCTTTATCGCCTCATCACAATGACTGTGTTGAATCTCTCGTTAAAAGTTGTAAAGAAGGCATTGAAGAAAGCGGTTGGTGGACAGAAGATGAGACCTTTTGATCTTTACACTTACTTACAGGAAGCCGCCAACCTAGTAAAACAAAGGCCTATAATTCGATTGCCAAATGATCCAGACGATGGTTCCTATTTAAATCCCAACGACATACTGCTTGGACGAGCGTCAACTAGGGTTCCCCAAGGTCCTTTTAAAGAAACCGCTAATCCAAGAATTAGATTTTTATTTGTGCAGAGAATTGTGGAAGCCATTTGGAAGATATGGACAAGAGACGTTTTTCCTAATCTTGTAGTACGGAGAAAATGGCACGTAGATAGGAGAAACATTAGAGTAGATGATATTGTTCTGATTGCTGAACTAAATTTGGTAAAAGGACAGTGGAAGTTGGGTAGAGTTATAGAAGTATACCCAGGTGCAGATGACCGTGTGAGAAGCATTAAGGTGAAGACTGAAAAGGGGGACTATCAGCGACCAATAACTAAGATTGCTGTTTTACAACCTGCAGAAGGTTTTGAAATTAAGATGATGCGATTTCCTCGCATGGTGGG